TTGATTTGCTACAATCCCAGATATTTTGTCAGCATTGCAAGTAAGTAGCGCTAACTTCTGTGTCGGGTTACGAATCGTATTAATGACCCAAAAATGAGTCACAAAGATTTAATTTAATTTCGGAAATTGATGAGTTGTTGATCGGTGCAAGAATGATGCTTCTCACTGACTATGCCGACTACGACGTCGGCTAAACCTCTAAGAATATATAAAGTCAACGGTCCGACTGTGGAAATTACCATGACTACTGTGGCAGAGGGCGCGATTAAAGTGACTTCAATTTTTTGCTAAAGCGAGTGATGCATAGACGCGTAGGTCGAACTAAACGGAAGACAGTTAGGTTCCCTGCGATCTTTTGTTTGACCTCCCTAATACGCTCATACTGGCACGGTACCCCAGACACCCCTCTTGAGTGGCAGGCTAATCCTCTGTCTGTCATACCATTTTATAATTATCCTCAGAGCTGTAGCTCATTATTATAACAATTTAAGCCAGAGGAGCAATTGGGTTTCGATAAAGGTCCAGAGATCCCATTTCTAGGGTAACTTTCATTTTGCGTAAAAGTGCCTGATGAAGAGATTTATGTGCTGATCTCACTAGAATACGGCTTACGATTCCCACCTTTCAGAAGTAGTTTGATTTTACCATGAAATTAAGGTTGACGCCATCCATGAGAAATCCTATCATGTTTCTGGCGAGGACGGGCTGAGATTTAGTTTGTCATATGACAGACAGCATCAGAGCCAAGACACATTTTTTAAGGAGCTTGAGAATAACAATAAGTCGTGAAGACCAGCCGGTTCTACTCTACACGAATAGAAACAAAACTATATAGACATAGATAGATAGATGGATAGATAGATAATGTTTTAATGAGATCTTTATACTAAACTAGATTCTTATAGGTGTGGGTGTGTGTATATGTGCGTTAGGATCTGTTTGCATCTAAGTTAGGATACTCAGAGTATTTACAATAAAGCCTAGTCTTAGTTATGGTTTAGCATATTCAAATGGCACACGGAAACACATGACTGGTATTTTGTAAGTTCACACGGACTTTTTGTTGAACATCTGAGCTGTAGGTTTGAAAGCGTCTAAATCAGAATACCAAATCTCCAGTCAGAAATAGTCAATCTAGGGTAATCTAAGCTTAATTAGCCATGGAAACCCATGATTAACATTGTGCAATCCTGTACATCTGGTCTAGTTGATAGGCTTAGCAAAACTGTTGGATGATGAACTGATCAAGTGAATCGTCTACTTTTGGATGGTCGGCTGCTACAAGATTTCTTGCTCATGTTGTCATTCTTATGTGAGTTTGATTTGTCAATTTGTTGGCTGAGAACAGAGCAGAAACTGGGCATCGGATAGAATGATTTCGGATGCATCGATTTGCTACGGAATGCAAGAGAGGCTCTTTGAAGTTTGGATGTAAGGAATAGAAATAGGAAGTTAAGTAAGAACTGTTTATGCTTGATTAAGAGGATTAGCAAGGGCGCCACTGACCAAAATAAAGCGATTCATATGATTAGCTTAGTGATGTATATAATGGCATTCAAATTCTTTCAACAATTCGGTTATTTTTATCAATTCACGTTGGGATTACTTAATCTTATTAATGCTTTCCTGTGGATCAAAACTTGTTGACCCAGACATGCATTTAGGCTTTATTGTGTTTTATATTCTGTTATAAACACGAAAATACGCAAGCGCATACACCTTTTGAGCATATAACTACTTAGAGTAACATAAAAAATACGTACCAACTCGTTTTAAATCTATCCCTATCTATCTACACATACATACATACACCCACATGTCTGCATACATACCTACACACATGAATGCATATATTCACAGAGTATAAACTAAATCCAACATGTATTCTTGCTGGAGTGTTAACCTGAAGCTTTTGTAAGAATGAATTTTAGCTCGGGCTTTGTAAAAAATAGGTAGTAGGTCGGGCTCTGGACGCAGGAGTCATTGTACAGACGAACCGAGCCTTTCCCACTAAAGGGATCAAGGAAAAAGAGAGCTTCAAGAGAGCATACTAAGGGTGAATTCAGTCAGGCTTGACACAGAAGCGCCTGTTCACCAACCTTTAGACAAACCAGGTAGTTCAAGCAGCCTAACGTGAACAAACTTGCTTGTTTAAACCATGACATAAGCGAATCAGGTTGACTCCACTACTTGATGCTGCGGAGGCAACATCAGTGCTCATCCCTTTCTCTTATGGCATCTCTTCCGCTTTCAGCACAAAGCGGTAGCTGTCATGTCTTCTAGACTCATACGAGGTCAACACAACCGAATTTCCCCTTCGAAGTTATGGCCCTCGGCGGGGCAGACGGGTGAAGACAGTTGGGGCCGTAACTGGCTGATTCCCTCTGATGTCGGCCTAAAAAGTGTTTAGGTTTAACAACAGTCGCCGTGGAAACCAGGATGCCTTAGTTGCCGTACCAAATATTACAGTGTTATTCACAATCACTATTCGGTGGTCATAAAAGGTGTTTTAGCATCTACACATGCCGAAGACTAAAAGTTTTCCAGCATACTACCGCTTGAAATACTAGGACTGCACTAGTCCATCTTAAATTAGGTCATAGTAGCAGTGATCGCATTTGCACCCATTGCATGTTCAGGGGATCAGATGGTCGGTTCGCTCAACCCCACTGCTTCGGCGATGTTATCAAAGCGAAGATGGATTGTTAGGAGATGGGCATTCGGCTTCACTAGCCCACTTTGGTAACGGAACTTTTGTGCAAACGAGCAAATCAGATCAGAGTCCCTAGGCGAGGCTGGAAAGAGCCGTATGCCTTTTCTCTGATAACTTAGGCCCTATCCAATCAAAGTATTAATGCAATTCTGACTTTTTTACATTGCTGTGGAATAATCGGCGGATGTGTTGGGTCTTAATCTGAAGATCCCTCAGACGGTCAGGATATTTTTACTTTCAGTAGTCTGCCAGTCCACTCACTCCTGTGTGTATATGTGCATGGGGCTGTATGCATACATATTTGTGCATGTGTGTATGCGGGTAGGAAGACTCCTCGTTTTGGATAATTAGAACAGAACACAACGTTTGTCTTAGTTCACACAGACACATGCATACATGTGCATAAACGTAGAGTGAAATAGGCATTATTTAGTTAAAACACGCTCTCTAATCTCCAGAAATGTATATTTTTGTGTTTGTACTTACAGCGGGTAGGGACAAACCAGTTGAGTGATCTTGACTTGTAGCTAGTTTGAAGTGGTTCTAATAATGAACCCCAGCTCTGATGAGTTCTGTCACGTGGCACGACATATGTAACTATAGCACGCTGTCACGAGAATCGGAAGGTGTCTTGACGACAGCGTCAGCCTGGACTTCGGAGGGGAGTTAGAGAACAGCAGACAGCAGAGAATTGGCCGTCGTATTTCGGTGAGCTCGATCCCGAAGCCTCTTCCTTCCGCACTTTTAGACGAAATGAACGTCATCTGTACAATGTTATATCAGAAGCTTCTTCTGAGGCCACTTATCCTTGCCATATGTGAAGCGAGGAGCCACACATCTGGCAACCTTGTAATTATTTGGCTATTTTCGTCCTCTCCCTCTATTTCGTCCCAAGGACCTACGAGAAAAAAGAGGCTGGACCCCTCCAGCGTGACAATCCCGGTGGGTGGTAATTGGAGGAATGAATTGGGCCATGTCATAAGAGGAGAGCAACAATGGGTCAGAACCCTCCGTGACTGATGGTCATAGAGCTCCATTTTCGCCAGTTGGTGTTAATTGGTGCCAGCGGAGGTGAAAACTGTGCAGGCTTAGCCCAGCCTGGACGATAGTGGGTCAATGCGCCTCGAAGCCGCCACCTCTTCCACAGTTGAACTGCAAGTCGGGACTCCAAGTCTGGACCGAGCTGAGTGGAAATCTTCCATGCTCCGGTAACCTTTTCAATCCGGCCAGTGAGCATTTCAACCATCCGAATAGTCAGAATATTAGCGAGCCACATCAAGTACTTTTGTCCGGGTTCCTGTGAGATTCGGGCCGCGCACTTGTGAGACCTCCTCCTACGCATGACAGTATTCATGCTCCCGATTGCGCTCATCTCCAGGTACAAGTGACAACCTTATGGTTTTAGTCAGGAGTTGCTGGACGCCATATTCTGGACCGTCAAAGTACTAAATACCCTAAAATGGCGCGAATTCCTTGCCATTTTGGTGCAAAAGGTTGGGGCCCCTTTAGTCATCAAAGGGCCAGTTTAAGATCTTTTAAAATCTAAAAAAATCATCATCTGCAAATACAGATTGTGGCCCTCTTACTGCCTGCTGTACCATCTTGAATGGTAGTCTCATGGAAATTTCATTTTAACTCTGCTCACTTGTACAAATGCACGTTTATTCAGAGAAAATTCATTTAGGCTACATGATTGCAAAAACAATCAGTAGCAGATTTTGCATGTATTTGTACGACCTCAAGCCTTAATATCAACCATAAAACTTCCTAATTCATTTTAGAGGAAGCTTCGTTGTGCATACTTTACTATGCCA